GTCATTGTAGTTGTGCTTTTAAAGTTGTAGCAATGTTTCGGCAGAATCTCATCTGCCATCATCAGGCTTCTGTATTGTGTTTGTCTGTGAGTCAGACTTTTACAGTGGTTTCAGATTTAAATTTGGGGCAGCCTATTGCTGTGCCAGAATGGTTTTGTCTTCACCCTGATTGGTTGGGAGTCTTGGTCTGTGTTTATTGGTCTTGGAGTTTGCTGTGTTCTGCTTGATTGGTGTTTCTAATATCTCCTGTCTGTTTTTTGGCTCTTTTTGTATCTTGATTGGCTGGCAACATTGTGTTACTTTATTAGAGACCTTTAGTGCAGCCTGGCTCCAGGTAAATGGACGGCTCTCATTAGTTAGTAAGCTAGGTTTCATCTGGGTGCCTGGTTGGGGTGTGTTTGAGCTGGAGGTATCAGGGGGGATCTGTCTGTGCCCAGGTGTTTGCCTGGCTTGTGGTGTGGAGATTTTTTTGTTTGTGAGTGCAGGCTTCCAGATGATTGACAGTCTGGTGGAATCATCTCTTCTATTCATGCTTTCTGGTCTTTTTTCAATCTCTATGGCTTCTCTGATGATTCTGTGGCTGGGGTTTTCTATAGTCACTAGGGTTTTGGTGCCATTGAAGTTGATGCTATGACCTGTGGCTTCCATGTGTTGGACTAGTGAGGAAGTGTGTTCCAGCTTTTTGACTGCATTTTTGTGTTCATCCAGGCGGGTACTTATTCTTCTATTGGTCTGTCCAATGTATGTGGCCAGGCATGATGCACAGGGGACTTCGTATATGCCTTGGTTTTCCAGGTCAATTTTATCTTTGGGGTTTCTAAGGATGGCTGCTATTTTTCTGTCTGTTTTGAAGGCAGTCTTGATGTGATGTCTTGTGTAGTATCTTACTAATTTTGTCTGTAGTACCTCTTATGTAGGGCAGGGCTGTTCCATAGGTCTGTTCATCTTCTGGGTCTTTATTATGTCTCAGTGTGTTTTTGTGGATCAAGCCAGTGATTTTGCTTTTGTGGAAGCCGTTGGCTGTCAGTACTTTAGTCAGGGTGCATAGTTCAGTCTTAATGGGTGTCTTGTCTGCCAGGCGTTTGGTTCTAGTAATTAGTGTTTTAGCCACGGAGTTTATCTGTGCTGGGTGGTGGTGGGATTGGGCGTTGAGGTAGCGGTTAGTGTGTGTTTTCTTCTGGTATACGTTGTGTCCTAGTGTGTCATCTGCTTTTTTGTAGATTAGTACATCTAGGAATGGTAGTTGTTTGTTTGTTTCTGTTTCCATGGTGAACTTGATTTTGGGGTGTGTGCTGTTTAGGTGTGTTAGGAAATTGTTTAGGTTTTCTTTTCCATGGGGCCAAATCACAAATGTGTCATCGATGTATCTTAACCATAATTCGGGTTTGTGGATGGCATTGGCCAGGGCTCTGGATTCGAATTCTTCCATGAACAGGTTTGCAATGACGGGTGACAGTGGTGATCCCATAGGGGCTCCTTCAATTTGTTTGTATCTTTGTCCTTTGTATATGAAATATGTGTTGGTTAAGCAGTGTTCTGTTAGTTCCATGAGGTGTTTAGCTGGTTGGTATTTATTTTTGATGATTTCAAGGGTCTCTTTTTCGGGACTTGAGTGAATAGTGAAACCACGTTGAAACTTACAAGCAGATCTTCTTGCTCCACATGTAGATCTTTGATCATTTCCAAGAAGTGGCATGAGTTTTGTACATGTGAAGCTGCTGCTTCAGCATGGGGCTGTAGCTGTTTTGCTAAGTGTTTAGCTAGGTTTTGTAGTGGTGCTCCTCTGGAGCTGACTATGGGTCTGAGAGGTATGCCTTCTTTGTGTATTTTTGGGAGGCCGTATAGTTTGGGGCATCTGGAAGATTTTTCTCTTGGGATGATCGTCTGTTGGATCTCTTTGCTCATGTGGCTGGTTATAATTTTCTTCTTGGTTAATTTTTTCAGATATGTGGTTGGGTCTGTGTTTATGGGTTTGTATGTGGGGTCTTGGAGTAGGTCTGTCAATTTTGTTTCATCGTTTTTTCTGTCCCTTACCACTGTGGCATTCCCTTTGACTGCTGGAAGTATGATTATGCTGCTATCTCTTTTCAGGGTTTGTAGCGCTTTAATTTCTTCTTTCTGCAAGTTGCTTTTGGGTGGTTTGCTTGTGCATAGGAAGTTGGTAACTTGGTGTCTTATTCTATCAGCTTCATCTGTATTTAATTTGGTTAGGCTGGATTCTACTGCACATATGATGGATTCTGTTGGGTTTTTGGGGGGTGCTATAGCATAATTGAATCCTTTGTTTCTGTTTTGGTGAGTTCTCTTTTGGAAATGTTATATACTAATTGTTTCAGGTGTTGTGAGTTGTTGGGGGTTTTCTTGTTATGTTCTAATTTCTTTAATTTTTTCAAGAGTTTATCATTTTTGTAAGTGGTTTCAGATTCAGCTCTCCAAGTTGTAAGTTGTTTTATCTTGTCCCAAAGTAGAGGGTGGATTTTGCTGCTCAATTCCAGGTTTAGTGCTAGCAAATCTTTGTTTAACTGATCTAATTGGAATCTCTTGCTGTGGAGCTCATTCCTTAGTAGAGCCATTTCAGTTCTTTTCCACCCAATCAGAACACAGCCAAGCCCCCACCCAATCAAGTCACACCTCCACTAGCAGTTAAAAGGAAGAAGCAGCTGCAAGCTCACATCACTCTGAGAAGCACAGAGCCGAAGACACAAGCCTGAAGATGATGAATGAGACTTCATCGAAACGTTGCCTAGATACTTCCACTCTTACGCGGGAGAAAACCCGAATAACCAAAGATCCATATATATATGTTGTGACTGGAAGGATCGATCTTGCTGGGAGTTTTGACTCTGATGACTCTGAAGATGGAAGGTTGGAGCCTGCTGTGAATGTGGAGTCTGAATTATCAGAGGACACAGACGTGAGCCAGGAGGATGAGAGATTGTCACAGAGACAATCCTCCCCAGAACCTTCGACTTCGTTCATGCCAGCAAA